GAGAAACATTCACAGTCGACACATTAAACAAACAGGCTTAAGTACTGACCATATTGAACTATTCACAGTCGACACATTAAACAAACAGGCTTAAGTATTGACCATATTGAACTATTCACAGTCGACACATATATTTTGAGAAGTTAAATATAAAAACTTATATTGATACTAAAATCACAAAAACATATGTAGAGAGAAATAATTATGGAAACGGTAGGTTATAAGATGCAAACGTTACAGGATTTTCCTTCCTCTATACCGTTCCAATTAAAATTATCAAAGCACAGTCACGTATTGATAACCTACACTGTGATTGGTTATCACCAGAACAATCAGAGAGTGCCACATCAACATAATGCATACAAAAGAAGAGCCAGTCATACCATTCCCAGTAGTAGTGTGGTGAATACACTAATGACTTGCAGAACAGAAATACCACATGAAAAATATGGCGAAGTGAAACTTCTGGCTGATAATGGCGAACTACTCCATGCAACAGAATGAGGCGAAATTTCTGGTTTCAGTAAGATGTTTTTTGGAAACTCTGAAGAATTTGCGTGAAACCAGTACTGTTCATAGTAGGAATGGCCGATGTAGAAAGTATAAATTATTCACATGATAAATGATAACCCATTAAAGATATTTTCAGTAACCCAGATTTAATTGCAGGCCCGGCATGGCCAGGTGGTTAAGGCACTCGACTAGCAATCTGAGGGGCGCGGGTTCGAATCCCTGTCACAACAAACATGCTCGCCCTTTCAGACGTGGGGCGTTATAATGTGACGGTCAATCCCACTATTCGTTGGTAAAATAGTAGCCCAAGAGTTGGCGGTGGGTGGTGATGACTAGCTGCCTTCCCTCTAGTCTTACACTGCTAAATTAGGGACGGCTAGCGCAGATAGCCCTCGTGTAGCTTTGTGCGAAATTAAAAAACAAACAAACAAACAATTTAATTGCAGGTACAAATGATACCTTCAGAGCAGTCAGATACTCGTTAGCACGATGCGACCTCAATGGATGTGTAGTAGCTCAAAAATCACAGCTAAAGGAAGATAACCAAACCAAAATACTGAAACGGGTATCAATCATCAAAAAATTGAATAAGGAAAACTGGAGAGGGTATTCTTTGCAGTTGAATCGAAGTTCAGCTTTTTTGGCAAGAATAAAAAATAGTTTGTTTGATGACAGAGAGGAGAGCATGGCCAATGTTTAACACATAAAGCAATACAAGTGTGGGCTTCATCTCACCCAGTGGTGTTGGAGATGTAGACACACAATTGATGACACCCTGACTACTGACAGGTACAGGCACATTCTTATCCATCAAGTCATTCTAGGTCATTTTCAACAATCGTGAAGAAAATGTGGTGAAATGATATCTGGAAGGAAAAACCAATGGCACATTTGTAACCCTGGTTTAACCTGTACAAAGTCAAGACCAATGGCACATTTGTAACCCTGGTTTAACCTGTACAAAATCTAGATATAAATGATATTAAGGCTTTGTCTGATATGAAAACTTAGATGGTCGGGCACCAAACAAACAACTTGGCTGAATTATGGAGAATAATACAAGACATTTAGTACAATATTTCACAATCATGCACCGATAAATTTGTGGTAACATTAAAACGAAATGTAAAAAATACTATACAACTTTTTCAGGTTTCTTTCTGTAATAATATATCGTACTAAAGATAAACTGACTAGTTAGTTACAATTAATCATTGTTTGTGTCTGTTGTACGTGTATCACTAGCGAAACCATTAGTAACACTGCTAATCTAAATCAGGCGATTTTTTCTTTCTGTAGTGGGGGAGACACATGTTTGATTAGGCCCAAACAGACAATCTGAAGGTTAGTAAATCAGACGGAATTAGAGACACATGTTTGATTAGGCCCAAACAGATAATCTGAAGGTTAGTAAATCAGACGGAATTAGAGACACATGTTTGATTAGGCCCAAACAGACAATCTGAAAGTTAGTAAATCAGACGGAATTAGAGACACATGTTTGATTAGGCCCAAACAGACAATCTGAAGGTTAGTAAATCAGACAGAATTAGATTTGTGCCACTTTTCTGAAGCATTTAGTTCCACAGTAGATAGACTGTTTTCGCTCAAAGCCACACAAAGGGTTATCTTCTCACAGCCGTCCTGAATTTTAAATTGACAGACTAGAAGAAACGCACCTGGTCATCCACCGCCAACTCTGGGACTACTATTATCGGACTGACTAGTGACAATACGGGGATGAGACGCGAATCATGAACCATAGGATGTTTCAAATATCGGGCACGCTAACCACTGTGCCACGCCAGCCCCTCACAAGAGGTAGAAAACGTGGGTCTATTTTATTTTCAGGGGTATCCCGAATTTTTCTTTAATTTATTAAGAAAGTTATAAAGTCAGTTTCTTCACGCCCACCTGCAGCACGTAGCCTAAAGTTAACCCACTAAGACATTACTAAATATATATGTATATATAGCGCATTCTAGTATAAGTTTAGGTTTTTTTTTCTTCCAAACCTTACACGTTAAAAATGTACCAATTCAACACCCGACATTTCCTTGTCAGAATGAAAGCATTCTCAACGACTCTTCAGTTCTAAGAAATATAGGAATTAGATATTACAAAAACAGGCGAACCAAAACTAACCATTAAACACATGTTCGATCCACGACACCTCCAAATCCGAAGACAACGATCGCAAGAAACATAATATTTACAGACAACAAACTAACTCTGAAAATTTACCATTATTTCGCGCACTCTTGTCAATATGATTTAGGCCTACAATAGTACCTGATGACGACAAACCCTTGTCGAAACGTTGTACATTTGCTGTTATGTTAAACTTATATTAAAATTTTTCTTCATTACCCATTCAAGCCGTCTCTAGCCATTATTAGGCCTACAATGTTTACTGTAAATTTGTCAGATGTTCTGTAGAAGGTCATTACTTTTAACACAACTGTTTATTGAGAAACACTAACTAATTGAAGTTACTCACCTGTGTGGATACGTTGGTGTGCTTTTAAATGACTGCTTTTGGTATAAACCTTAATGCAACCTAAAAATAAAAGTAAAGACAAAGATTAAGTAGAGTATAAAACACACAGAATGGTTGTATGTACGGCTAACATGTAAAATCTCTTAACCTTGATAACGTAGAACAATGACAACCGACATTTGTTGTGAAGTTGTGAAACTAGGTAGAAATAACTTTGTTGGAGTTCGAAACACAGAATAAGGGATATTGAAACAACTAAAACGTACATACAAACAACTATAAACCACGTTAAAACTTAATGTTTCTGACAGCAACTAGTCGGTGCACGTGTATACATTTTTTTTTTATCCAAACTTTATAATGAACTTGGAAAATCAAAGAGAAAAAAAAAATCAAATTACGTACGTTAAGGACATAAATATTGGATCGTTAGTTTTTATTTTACATTCAAAGTTTAAAAAAGCACGAATAAAATGACATCGTTAACGTTAGGTGTCAGCACGGTGTAGAGGAAAGGCAATATATCGGGAAGATACGTAAGGCTGGCGGCTGTCTTTGTCAACTTTTATTAGACGAGGCTACAAAGACTGTAGAGTTATCTCGGCAATCTTCTGACTGGATAATGTGCTTCATAACTCTATAGTAAAGCTTTTAAAGATAAGCTTTATGAAGCACTTACACATTGGAGCTATTTGAAGCAATGCACGCGAACAAAACCTGCTCTCTCTCTCTTACTGCCCTCTGGTGTATTAGATAGACAGTAATTGGGGCCATGGAAAACAGTTGAAATAACATAAAAGCAAACACAAACAATCTTATCACTAGCACCAGTATGTTTGCGACTTTTCTCTTATCATTTTTTTACTCCTTCCTATTTAATTTTCTATCTATGTCTAGGTGGAGACAGGAGGACAGGACACGACGGAATAAATAAATAGACCGTTGATAATAATTCATTCCAAGCGTGGATTTCCTGACGCCTTTTACTGGGTCCTCGTCAGTGAATTTTACGTCAGCAGGAGGACCTTTTTATCGAGTAAAAAATGCACTAGACACATTCAATACACAAAGTACGGTGTTTATTGTACGTCAGGACTCGGGTTGTAAGAACTACACCAGGTACATTCAATATACAAAGTACGGTGTTTATAGTACGTCATAACTCACGTTGTAAGGACTATACTAGGCACATTCAACACACAATCTACGGTGTTTATAGTACGTCATGACTCAGGTTGTAAGGACTACACTAGGCACGTACAATACACAAAGTACGGTGTTTATAGTGGACCTAACATCATGACTCAGGTTTGTTAGGATTACACTAGGCACATACAATACACAAAGTACGGTGTTTATAGTACACCATGACTCAGGTTGTAAGGACTACACTAGGCACGTACAATACACAAAGCACGGTGTTTATAGTGGACCTAACGTCAAAACTCAGGTTGTAAGGACTACACCAGGCACATTCAATACACAAAGAACGGTGTTTATAGTGAACCTAACGTCAAAACTCAGGTTGTAAGGACTACACAAGGCACGTACACAACACAAAGTACGGTGTTTATAGTGAACCTAACGTCATAACTCAGGTTGTAACGACTACACTAGGCACGTACACTACACAAAGTACGGTGTTTATAGGACGTCATAACTCAGGTTGTAAGGACTACACTAGGCACGTAAAATACACAAAGTACGGTGTTTATAGTACGTCATGACTCAGGTTGTAAGGACTACACGAGGCACATACAATATACAAAGTACGGTGTTTATAGTGGACTTAACGTTATAACTCAGGTTGTAAAGACTACACTAGGCACGTACACTACACAAAGTACGGTGTTTATAGTGAACCTAACGTCAAAACTCAGGTTGTAAGGACTACACTAGGCACGCACACTACACAAAGTACGGTGTTTATAGTGGACCTAACGTCATAACTCAGGTTGTAAGGACTACACTAGGCACGTACACTAAACAAAGTACGGTGTTTATATTACGTCATGACTCAGGTTGTAAGGACTACACTAGGCACGTACACTACACAAAGTACGGTGTTTATAGTGAACCTAACGTCAAAACTCAGGTTGTAAGGACTACACTAGGCACGTACACTACACAAAGTACGATGTTTATAGGACGTCATGACTCAGGTTGTAAGGACTACACTAGGCACGTACACTACACAAAGTACGGTGTTTATAGTGAACCTAACGTCATAACTCAGGTTGAGAGGATTAAGGTAGACATAATTCTGACGTCAGAACACGCGCACCACCCGAGAATCTGACATCTGAACTCTGTGTAGAAGATTTATTTTATTTATTTGTTTTTTGTCATCCTATCATCTAGCCAAGTAATCTGATTTCATTATATCTATGGAAGCTAATTTTTCGCCCCAAATTAAAAATCCCCGTTTATATTACTTTAGATTCGCTTGTTTTTTGAAGATGAAATTGTCGCCGAACCCAAACAGGGGGTCGAAGTTAAGGTTTGTTTAATACACTTAATGTAGATAAAAAACAACAACTGGTGATGCTTGTATTATACTTGTGACTATACTGACATAAGGCTCACTTTACGATTATATTATACTTGTGACTATACTGACATAAGGCTCACTTTACGATTATACTATAATATAATCGTAAAGTGAACCTTATGTCAGTGTAGTCACAAGTATATTCACTTTACGATTATATTCCTGACATAAGGTTCACTTTACGATTATACTATACTTGTGACTATACTGACATAAGGCTCACTTTACGATTATACTATACTTGTGACTATACTGACATAACGTTTATGTCAGTATAGTCACAAGT